CTCCTAAAATCAATATAAATAGATGCTCAGTCAATCAGATGACAACAGACAAGAATTTGGTTTGCGAAACGAGACGAAGCTGAAGAAATGATTAGAAATATGGGTAAATTTTTAATTATCTAATAGTCCATAGATCTCACCTGTAGTCTTGGTAAAAAAGAAGGATGCTTCCATGCTTTTTTTTCGATTGCCACCAGTTAATGTCTTTCTTTCTTCGAATCTCTCTCAGTATTCTCTATATGTATTGCTAGTATAAGCAATCCCCCACATTGGGCACTTTGTTGTCTGGCGTATCAGAAATAGACAAGGAAGCTACCCACGCCTAATTTGGGCACGGTACTCAAAAAAAAAAGATTGGTTCTGTAGTGTCAAAAATATTGTGTCTGTTACAATAGATTTTAGAATGGTTCTATTGAGTGAATATGTAAAAACATGATGCCAAAAATGAGAATTAGTGTACTGGTGCAATGGTCTAGTTGGTAAAAAGAATATACCACATTGTTGGTAACCCTATACAGAGAGTAGTTATTGATATTACAGGACTTTTTCAGAAACAGATGCTGGAAATAAATATATTCTGGTGGCAACAGAGTATTTTACAAAATGATTGAAACAAATGCAATACCAAACGAGAGGAATACAGAAGGCTTTTACAGCTGCAAATATTCTTGTTAAATAAATTATTTAGGCTTTTTGAAATTAGAAATCCATTTAGACCAAAGGTGAAATTTCGAAACAGTACTTTTCGAACGAAGAACAAACACCTTTCTAAAGTTGTATCCGAGCATTAAAGGGAGTGTAACTAGTACTTGCATATTAATTTTTTTCTGATGGCTCATTGAACAGCTGTGAATGAAACTACTGGTCAGACCCCCGATTGTTTGGTGTTAAGTAAAATACGTCGACCAAATGTAGCAAAAAAAGATCAATATAATTTTCGACCCATGAAGTAGGTGATCTTGTCTGCCTATATAATGCACAATGACGTCGAGGCCTATCCCATAAACTTCAAAGACAATGAGAAGATTCGTATGAAATTAAAAAAAAAAAAAAAAGTAATGTGATACAGCGTGTGGGCTAGACAACTTTTTTTTAATTAGCTAGCTTTCACCATTTTTGGTACACCATTAGATAATCAAAAACTCAAATGTTTATATTCTGTCTGATAAAATCTTTTGCTTTAGAGCTGTAAATTTAGGGTTTATAATTTGTTAACACGAATGCTTTAGAAAACTTGTGAAATTAAAACGACATATTTCTGGAGATTGTCATGTTCCCGATCGCTGTAATTTTAATCATATTATAGCCAGAGAACTACGAACGCATAGTTCTCTGTTATAGCGGCTGTGTCAATTTCTCTCATAATACCAAAGACTATGGACGCATACGCGCATATGCGTCTATATTCGTTGATAAATCCCAAATAAGAAGCAAGCACACTTGGCTGTCATGTTTTAGATACGGTCAGAGATATGTAAGACTGAATACGGTTGAAGAAAGAGGTTGAAGTTGAACAAAGTTGAATAAGCTTTTAGTTCCTTACTGTACCAGTAGGGAGCGCTCATGTGAGCTCTATTACTGCTTCTAAAATATGAAAGAGTGGAGCAACAAATGCAACTTTAGATATTTTATGCAGATGCCGCGTGTCGTGTGCATATATTGCTTAGTTTTAAATTTTTACATTATATAAAATTAGAGATCAAATCCTACTCATGCAAAATATTTTTGTGTATAAAATAAAATATTATTTTACCTTGTAACAACTGAATCTTATTAGAAAAACTATTATGATTCAAATTTTTAATTCAAATGCGTAAAATCTACAAATAATATAATTAAACTCTCTTCTTATAAAATATAAATAAAATTAATCAAAACTCAATCACTGGGAGAGAAAGCCCAAAAAATTACAAGGTATTTCGATCAAAAAACAGTTCCTGATCTCGTTAGTACGCTAGAATTGCCTTTTAACACATAGGTACACCAAAGAATTATTTTTTACAATTTAAAAATTCGAAATATAAAGTATAATTTTGGATTTTTAAGTTTCAAAAATAAATAGCCAAGTCTCAAAAAGCGAGCTCAACAAAGGAAGATGAAGAAAGGGTCAAAACGGCTTATCGGACATGGACCATAGCAATTCCCAAGAAAATCAAATCAGCAACACCCTAGGATAAAAAGATACTTCGGGAGAATACCGTCACCATCCTCGCAACAAAGTTGCTAAAAAACCAAGGGGCTCTAACGAGCAGACTAGGTCATAAAGCAAGATGACAAAAGTATTCAGAATGTCGGTAGTACACAGACATTATCTTGACACTACTAGATCGGACTTAAGCAGATCTGATCAATAACAGACTGGAACAAGCAGCTGATGTAGCTCCTAGCGGAGGTCAGAATTTTTCATATAACATCGTTTAGCGAAGGGACCCTGTGGGTGAACTGTGCCACAGAATAATAAACAATCAGAATGTCCACTCGCAGATGCCGCCTTTGACGTTTTTCAGCACGCGCGCCATGTTTTAGAAGGAAACACATAACACAGACATATGATTTGTGAGGTTATGTAATTGTTTATATTCATGTTTAATTATATTATATTTATGTTATTATATTTAACAATGTTAAAATAATTGTATAGTATGTCTATGAGTGCCGTAAGTCAATTAAACCGGGTTAATTTTTCTATGCACACCACATAAACAACACTGGTTCCCTCTAAAACATGGCGGAACATTTGCGCGAAGGAGATGAGCGTACTTAATTTTCCATGAAGAGTGGGCATTCTGATTGTTTATTATTCTGTGACTTTGCTAACGAGTACACAAAAAAATGTTATAGTAGGCGGTACAGTAGACTAGCCAGAAACTTTATACTATGTTTTCTATATTTTTAAAATTGAATAAAGTAATTTTATTATTTATTTATTATTTATATTTTAAACAAATTATATTATATTCAAATAATTTAACGAACATTTACTCCTAACGCCACCTGTTGACGTATTAACAAAGAATACTTCTGAGAGACCTGTCAAATTCAAACAAAATATTGAATTATATAATCAGATCTAAATAAATAGCATTTTATGGTAAATTTATTTATTATATAAACTAAAGTTTAAAAATAATAATTGTATTTATATGCAATTATTTTAAAACGAGAAGTGTATTAAAAATGTAAACAGATGATTCAATATTATTATTAATCGGATGACTTAAATTTTGACAATCGTTCCAAATCGAATTTTTATTAACAAATATTCTTTTAATTTTTACTTCTCATTTAATGTCTGTATTTTGTTAATTATTTTTCACGCAATTTTTAATTTAAATCTGCTTAGAATAAATATATGATGACTAGAAACGAATTTATCTAGAGTAGTGAATCGATGTGAAGAATCGCTATTTTGTGACACTACCCGTGACGCCTTCTCCTCGTGGCGCTAGTTCCGTGACGCCTTCTCCTCGTGGCGCTAGTTCCGTGACGCCTTCTTCTCGTGGCGCTAGTTCCGTGACGCTCGTTGGAGCATTTTACTATAGAGAAAAGAATAATACAATACCAGTATACAAGCTTCGGTTCCAAAAAACAGTTTGCAAATCAATGGCATCTAAATTTTATAAAACTTGGATGCATAATTTATATAGCTTCTTACCCCTTTTTCACTTCCCCCCAACTCTATGAACATGAAGCCGACGGCCATGGTTTGAGTTTATGTAGTCGCCATCTGCAGGAGTATTTCGAAGTATAATAACTGTTTGTTTGTAGATCTCTTCTCTGTAATAACAGAGAACTATGATATAGTTTGTTAGTTCTCTGGTAATAACCAGCAGATACCAGAACAAACTGTGACCAAATCACGAAGCACCAGAGCGCACCACCCCTTAATAATTGATCCACAGTACTGTGATTGATCCATGATCCATTTAAAATCTACTTTTAATTGACTAAATAGGGTTATGTTATTATTTTGGTTTTAAAAATTATTAATTACAACATTACCATTTTCCATAGCCCAGTAAAAATCCGTGTATGAGGTAATTGAAAATAAAAAAGTCTATCATATTTTATAAAGTTTTATTTTTTAGAATGGAGGAGCAAGAAACTGAAAACAAATTATCCTTGGATGAAGAGATAGAGAACTTGTCACATGAAGATCTTTTAGAAATTACACAAAGTAGTATTAGGAGACTTATTACTTCAGATCCTCTACTTAATGATTTACCACCTGATGTTACTTTTGAAGAAGTTGCTGCTCAAATAGCTGTAGCTCAGGGCCAGTCAATAACAGTTACTGTTAACAGATATTCAGAGTCACCATTAAGTGTTGTAGTAAGTATTGTGTTTAAATAATATATTTCTATTCAATAACTCATTAATTTGACAAATATGTACTTCTGTTTATTAATTATTTTTTAAACTGTTTTTCCCTTGTCTAGTGTTGTGTGTAAATGTATTATTTAATGTTTATGACATGCATAAAAGTGCTGGACAGCCTATAATTTTGACATATAAATGTCCCTGAAGATTCCATGACAGCGAAAATACTTGGGTAAGATTTAATAAAAAACTGTGCTCAATATCGGTCTTTTATTTGATTAAAGTTCATTTATTTGAGCATGCAAACATATATCACTTTACAGAATTATTGTAATTTAAAATTCTAATATTGTAAAATTAAAAAAACAAATAAAAAACAAAGTTTCTTTAATCAGCCTCTCTATTTTCAGTTCTTGTAAAATTTCTAGAGCCATGTGAATTTTACTATACTTTTTCATTCCTGTGTTGTGTTTTTTAAAACATTACTTAGCTCACAGATTTTCTTTAATTATGACATTCTAGTTATATAAATTATCCTTGCCACTTTCAGTAGGCATCAAAAGATGAACATTTGATTAGTCTTCAGTTTATATATAATGGCTATACACCCCAACGTGGGGTTAAACCGCAAATGCTTTCTAGATCCTATTTCTTAAGTGGATCAGTCTTTTTTTTTTTGTTTATCTTATCTTCTTGACAATATCTCTCCATTTTTTCCTGTCTCTAGTTCTTCCTCTCCATTCACTGACTCCTGCCCTTTGGAGGTCTTCTTCAACTTCTTGCAGCCACTTTGATCTCGGTCTTCCCCTTCTCTTTCTTCCTCCTGGATTCCATTCTATCATTGCGTATGTCACTGCCTCATCGCCTGCTCGCCAGATGTGACCTAACCATCTAACTCTGCATTGCTTTATTTTAGTAACAATGTCTTCCTTAAGTTCTTCTTTAATTTCTGCATTTGTTCTGCTTCTATATTCATTTTGCTCTGTTCTGATTGGTCCTAGTATGGTTCTCATAATCTTTCTCTCTGCAATTCTTAAGTCTTCTTCATCTTTTTTAACCATCGTCATTGTTTCCCCTGCATATAATAATATTGGTCTAATTATGGTGTTATAAATGCTCATCTTGCTTTTTTTAGTCAGTGTTTTGCTTTTAAGTAATCTTTTGTTTGCAAAATAAGCTTTATTCGCTGCTAATATTTTTTCTTTTATTTCGGATTTTCTTTCTCCGGATTTACTTATTGTAACTCCTAGGTATTTGAAGTATTCTACTTCTTCAAACTCGGAACTTCCTATTTTGATTTTTTCCTTCATTGGTTTTTTCCCTAATCTTAATATTTTTGTCTTTTCTTGATTTAATCTTAGCCCCATTACCTCCCCTTTCTCTCTTATTTCTTCAAGCATTTCTTTCATTATTTTTCTGTTCTTTGCAATAATAACAATATCATCTGCATATGCAATTATTTGACCACCTCTTGTTCTGAGATTTCCTTTATTTATATTTCGCAGTACATATTCTAATGCTAGATTAAATAGCGTCGTTGATAAGGCATCTCCTTGTTTCATCCCTTTATTTATACTGAATTCCTCTGTCTCTCCTCTTTGTGTCTTTATGCTTATTTTTGTAGTTCTCATTGTCATTTCTATTAATTTTCTGAGTTTATGTGGAATTTTTAATTTTTTAAGTGCTGTCATTAATACGTTCCTTTTAATTGAATCAAATGCCTGTTTGAAGTCTATGAATAACATTTCCAATTCTAATTTATACTCGTTTGCTTTTTCCATTATTTGTTTTATTGTGTGTATTGCATCTATTGTAGATCTTCCTTCTGTGAATCCACATTGGTACTGTCCTACTGTCTTCTTTGTGATCTTTGATAACCTCTTTTTTATTATTGATGTCAATATTTTATATGTTGTATTTAGTAATGTTATTCCTCTATAATTTTCACAGATTTGTTGGTCTCCCTTTTTATGTACTGTTATGATCTGTCCTACCTCCCAGTCACCTGGCATTTTCTCTTCTTTCCATATATTTTTCAATAGTGCCAGTATTTTTCCTCTTAGTTCCCTTCCCCCGTATTTTATTAGTTCCATATTAATTCCATCTTTACCTGGGGCTTTTCCATTTTTGCTTCTCTGTATTACTTCATCCAATTCCTCTAATGTTGGTTCTTTTGAAATTTCGATGTCTACTTCATTTGCTTCTTCTTCGTGTACTGTTTCCTCCTCGTCATGCATTTCTTCTTCTGTTGTTTCCTCCGTCAAGAGCTCTCTGTAGTAATCTCTCCATACTTGCTTGTATTCTTGGTCCTCTATTATCACTATTCCCTCTCTATTTTTTATTCCGTTTGTTTTGCCCTTGTATTTTTTGTTTTGTTCTTTAATCTTTTTGTAAAAACTTTTCGTATTTCTGTTTGTTCTTTCCTGCTCTATTTCCTGCATTTTTTTGTCTACCCATCTTCTTTTATTTTGCCTTATCACTTTCTTAGCATACCTTCTTAATTTTTCATATTCTTCTCTGTCTTCCTCTTTATCTGTTCTTAGCCATTTATTTCTGGCTTGCACTTTTTTTTCTGTTATTTCTCTACATTCTTGGTTATACCATTCGTTTCTTGTTTTAGCCTGACTTTTACCTATCTGCATATTTGCACCTTCTTCTATTGATTTTTTGATCGTCTCCCATTCTGTGCTTATATCTTCTACTTTATATTTCTCTTTTATTTGAATTGTTACTGCCTCTTCATATTTTTTTCTTACTTCTTCATTGCTCAATTTATTGACATTCCACTTTTTATGTTGGTTTTTTTGTTGTGTTTCAATTTTAACTTTTTGTCTTAAAATGGCTGTGACCATGTAGTGGTCTGAATCTGCACACGCACCTCTGAACGTTCTTATGCCGGGTCCAGACCAAGCAGACAAAACGAAAACACAATTCTGAAACAAAAACACGATAAACCGGCGACAAAATTTGTCGTCAAAAGACAAAACAAAATTGAGACAAACTGTCCACACCAGAACAACAAAATATAAAAACAAAATTCAGTTGGTGACGTTGTTGTTGTGATTAGTGTTGGTTAACCATGTGGCGTTTTAATCAAGAAAAAAATGAAACTGAAGATTTATTGCTAGCCGCAAGTTGTTTTTTTTGCTCTCATCATCATCCCAGGTTGCTAAACGAAAACCCAAACGTTTTTGTATTAGACCAAGCCTAAAAATGCGACATAACCAAACCATTTTGAACTGAAAAGTTTCCCAGCCCCAGATTTTTTAAGTTTCTTGTAGTTTCGTCTTTCTCTAGCATACTGGTTGTTAACATTCTTTATTTTCTTTTCAACATCATTTAGTGGCACATTTAGCGATAAAGAAATTTCCTTTAATGCATCGGCTTTCTTGTAGCGATTTTTATAATCTTTATTTTTATAGGGTCCCATAATATCGGATGCTCTTTGTAAAGTTCTATTAACTTGCATGTATTTTGTGTATTCCACTTTTTGTCCCCCGACATGTTTAGAAAAATACACTAGTATTTATTTAATCACTACACAACAGAAAAATACACTTGATTTTGATAAAAATTGTACATTCTATTTCTCCTACTGCTTAACTCGTTTTGGCACACACACGCGTCCACACTGCATCGACAACTTGTCTTCAAAAACACAGACAAAACACAGACCTTTTGATCTTTACCGACCTGAGACGGGACCTGAAAAAGTTTTCAAATCTGCAAACAAAACAAAATTGTTTCAGAAATGTCTCAACAAATGTTTTCGATTTGTCGCCACTTTGTCGCGAAACATGAATGTTTTTGTTTTGTCTGCTTGGTCTGGACCCGGCATTACATCTTTTATTGACGATTGTTTTCGTTTATTAATCATTATGTGATCAATTTGACTATATGTTTTCTGATCCGGTGACCTCCATGTTACCTTATGTATTTTAGGGTGTTCAAATTTTGTCGAGCTTATTAACAAATTTGTTCTTGTTGCTAGGTTACATAGTCTTTGCCCATTGTCATTCGTGTTTTCGTGTATTGTATGCTTTCCTGCAATTTGCTGTAAAAAGTCCTCTTTTCCAATTTGGGCGTTGAGGTCTCCCAGTACAAATATGACATCTTCTTTGGGTATTTTTTCTATCTCCTCTTCGACCTTATCATAAAAGATTTCTTTTTCGTCTGCATTGCTTGTTTCTGTGGGGGCGTATAAATTCAAGACTGATATATTAAATGGTTTGCTGTTGACTCTAACATAAGCCATTCTTTCGCATATTGGCTTGAAACTTATAATTTTCTGTCTTAGGTGACTAAGTATCATGAATCCCACGCCTTTTTGCCCTTGCTTCTTTCCTCCTGAGTATAACATTGTAAAGTCTTGTTTGTCAATCTGTCCCTGTCCCTCCCAGCGTAATTCTTGCAGTGCTGCAATATCTATTTTATACTTTTTGAGTTCCTTTCCTATTTCTAGCATTTTTCCTGGGGCTAGCATAGTTCTGATGTTCCATGTGCTTATTTTCAACTCTTTATTTTTTTTGTTCTGTTGTCTTCGTCGTTTATATTTGTTTTCTTGTCCATTTTTCTTTATTTCCAGTTTCTTTGCCTCATCCGTCAACGAATTATGTATCCTCTCATCCCTTGCTAGTTTTTTGAATCACCTCCATGATGGTCCTCCAGCTGGTTGGTGTTTCTATTCCATCTCCTTTCTAGACCATCTATTATAAGTTTGTTGGCTTTAATTTGGACACGTTTACCTTTCTTTATTTCATCTTTTGCTATTCTTCGTATTTCCCTCTGTATTTGTAATTCCTCTGTCGTTAGATCATTGTTTATATATATTTTTTCTTTTTTCACTTCTTTAAGTTTACTTTTGTTTTCCATAATTTTTGTTTTTTCTTCTTTGTTTGGCAATCTGACTAAACATGTTTTATCTCCTAGTTTCACTGCTTCATCTATATTTACAGTAATATTTAGCTCTTTTGTCATAAAATTTTCTATCACTTCTTTTAGTACTCTTCTATCTCCAGTTTCTATTGTCATTCCCTGTATTATCACATTATTTTCTTTTCTTATTCTATCCAGCCTTTCAAGGCGTCCTTTTGTCTCATTCAGATCCTTTTTGATTTGTTCATTTTCTTTCCAGATTTTACTATTCTCTTGTTTTAGTTCTGCTAGTTCAGTTTTGAGTTCCCTCATTTCTTCTCTGTATTGTTTTTGTTCCGTTTTTACCTCTTTTATATCAGTTTTTAATTCTTGTAACTCTATTGTTAAATTTTTTATCATATTTAGTATTTGATCTATTTTGTTTTCATCTTTGTGACTTTTAATTGGGCTTCTTTGTACTTTTTTACTGGGACCAAATAATAGTTCCTCTTCTTCTCTATTTCTTTTCCGATTGTCATCGGATGTATTATCATCTGAATCCATATTTCTGCTGCTACTACTCGCGATAGAGCTAACCTCCCCACTCAACGCGTCGAAGGAAGATAGTTCTCTCAAGTAGTAGCTTGTAGTAATTTATTTTCTCGTTTTCTTCCTGGATAAATTAATTTTCAATTAAAATAATTGTCAGATACTTTGGAACGGTTTGATGTGGTACCGCCCACCTCTAGCTTTTAAAACTGATATATAGTGTTAATTACCTGGGCCGGTTTTGTTTTTAGTTTTTTGTGTTGAGAGTAAATAAAATTTCCTTCGCCTTCCTAAATTTATCGAGATTATGCACTTACCTCTCTTCCAATGTCTTTGCTATAATTACCTCTAATACTTTTATTCTTGTATTACACACTGCACGCAAAATCAGCAAAATTATCGACTCACAATAACCAAAAATTGAAATTATTATGGAGCAGAATTTACACACATCTATTCCTTACACTAGAGATGGAAGAACTTTTTGAGTCTTCAGTTTAATCAGTTAAATATTTCTGCTTTACTTGTATATTAATCTCACACACTATGAAGCCCCAATCTCAATCCTTTTGATACCCTAGATATAGAGAAAGGGTTCATTTTTGCATGACGGGTAGCAGCCTGGCTGCTTAAATTTAGATAATAATAAAACTAAATAAAGGGATTTCTAATTAATGACTTAAACCTGAAATCATCTACATCAAAAGCTAAAAATGGAATACTCTGCTAGTGGCAGTGAGAGGTGTATCACTTACATCTGGATGTTAACTTGTCATGTTTGACATGAAGTGAATTGAATTTTTAAAGTTTTTTTATTTGGTTATTTTGAAGTTAACTTTTCAAAGTTAACTTTTATTCTAGCTTTTCTTCATTTGTGATAACTACTCTTTTCAATCTTATTATATGAAAATTAACTCAGTGACAAAACAAAATCTCAAGACAGTCACTTATTTAGCTTAAAAAAATTAATGTACCCTTTCATATCGATTTGTTGGTAGCTATGGGAAAAGAAACAGATATTGTTCTGGTTAAATAGTATTCCAATTTTGGTTAACAGTTTTAGTGTAGTTTTCGTTGTAGTAGGTATTGTAGTTCTTTTTTTCCAGGATTCCTGAGCCAGTCTATCTCATCTCCTGTAAAGCAATGATGTCTGCTTTGGCTTTATGCATATCTTTAATTAGAGTTATGCAGGTTAATAAATACTTCTTACATTTCACAACAAATTTTCAAATATTTAAGGGACCATTTTCTAAGGACCATTTCACCTACTCTTGTCATTTCTGATCCAACTGTCTATCAATGTTGCTTACTGAATCTCCAGTTGGATTGCTTGGTTTCATAGGAGGTATCAGCTTGAAGATAAATGTCAGATTTTAGTAGAAGAGGCTTAGTGAAGTAAACTGGAGCCAACTACATGTTTTCGCATTCTACTCCTTTATCCTCATAGATTGAATAATATTAGATTATTGGTTGAGTTTACCGAAAATACAAGCTGAATATAGCCGCAAATGTCAAAAATATTTCAGTTTGGCTGCGTTGGCATATTTTTATAATGCATATCTTGTATGTTTCAAATATAAAGAGATAAAGCTTTTAAAAAGTATATTTTAATTATAGTATTTTATGAATTCTGCAAGTTTCAATTTACATGAAGCAATAACGAGTAGATATTTGTCTTTTTCAAGATTAATTGCAAACATCTTTTGTAATCTGGCAACTGCTGATTTGACAATTGCCAGGTCTATCCCCTAATATATCAAAGGGTAATTGCTAAAAAAATGTCTAATAATTAACTGCAATTAACCTCCAAAGAAACAAATATTTACTTATAGTTTTTTTATATAAATCAGAAATTACAGAATTCATAACATAATATAAACAAAATGTACTTTTCTAAAGCTTTATATTTTTATATTTGAAGTATACAGCATCTACATTATAAAAACATGCCAACACTGCTTTACCGAAATTTTTTGTTCCATGTTTGACATTTGCAGCTATAATCAGCTTGTACTTTTGGTAAACTCAACCTAGATTATTTAATGACATCAATAAAGATCAAATCCTATACAAAATTATATAAAAATACTCTGAAATAACTCAACATCTCCTTAATATTGTTATATTTTTTATAGTTCTAATTTATTGTCTTTATTCTAATTTATTAAAACTCACGATAATTTATTATCACTTTATAAATTACTTTACAATCATTTATCACGTTCGTACATTTTAAACCACGTTCCGAGAGTTTCTTTTCTTCACTGACTTCTTCAATAAAAGCTCCGTTATTATATATGAAAATACAGTTATTCGAGAGTTCAGGAGAATCCCTCTGATAATTCTAGGCCGAGTCATCACTCGACCGGTTTCTCTGGAAACTTTGAACGGCCGTTTCAGGTATATGTCTGCTAGCTGATCGAAAGATCTCGTCCATTCTACAACATATTTAGTAAATAAACAACATGTTTACAGGTTTATTTTAATATGACTAATTTTTACGTAACAATATGTATACAACTAATAAAAGCAATGAGTGACTTAACAGCCGCAAAGGTCAACAAACAAAATTAACTTACTGAAAGCAAATGACAAGGGTCCTGAAATTGCCTAACCTGACTCTTGAATATGTTATAAGTTGAATATCGGAAGAGCCAATCTCTTAACAAAGCAATACACCTTGTTGCCTATGCCAAAAAACATTAAGATCATATTTTGCAGAACCAAGGATTCAACAATACTATACTCACAACTGAAAAGAGCAGCTAAGAAAATTGGACTATTCATAAACATACGCATATAAGTTGATTAGATGACAATGTTGATACAGTAAAAATCTTCACATATTTAGGGGTGAAATACACAAGAAGCAGAAATTAAAAAAAAAAAAAAGAAAAATGGAGTGAAACAAAAACCTAAGTATGTGTTGTTGAATTACATATTTCTGTCCATAACTGTATACAAATTATATATTATAATCTATAGATTAGGATTAGAGCAATAGTATGTTATAAATATGAGATTACAAAAACATGAACAACGAACATACAAAAAGGAAATTAAGTATTTAATTAAAGATAAGAAACTGAAGTTGCAAAACTTGATGGATTTTAGAACTTAAATGCGAGCATCTTGTGACCATCAATGTTGCAGACAGAAGTTCCAGGAGAAGAAAGCTCAATTTGGGCTGTAGCATAATTGGAAAACGAAAAATCCTGATTAGTAATGTCTTAAAAGAATAGAATCATTTACCAATGACTATTTCTTTTTCTTCGAGGGCCTTCTATTGAAGAGGGACAAAAATGTTGGCAAATTTTTTAATCAAAGAATATTGTTTTTGTCCTTGCCTGCGTCTACCTTCGATCTTACCTGCTATTATGAACTAGTCCTATCTATTGTGCCTCATTACATGACCAAGACATACATGTTTCTCTTTTTAAGATTGATCAATACCAGTGGTTAGCTGTATATCATGGTTTAAATAAAATTACAGTGAAGTGAAAACTTCTAGTGTAAAATGGTATATATTTAAAACATACAAAAATGAAATTTTCCAAACGGATTACAATTTATCAGAATGTTTTCAGTCTTATCAGACCATCATCAGTGAACATATAGTTAGCAGTTGAAACTAGTCACTTAAAAAGGTGTAACAGATCAGATTAAATGTCTTAAAAATTTAAATTGAAGTGGCATGCGGTTGATGATAAAACATTTAACTTTAAAGGAATATGAATATACTGAATCCTACTCAAAAGGAGGACTACATCTGTGTCCTAGGAAAGATGCCATCCAACTGATTATCCTTCTCATGAATAGTGACAATAAATGTAGATTTTAGCCAATTATATCATCTAGCCTTCTGCATCCAAAGTTGACCATAAGCACCCCTAATTTCTTCCAGTTATGACAGTCTTGAGTTTCCTGCAGCCAATTCCCAGCGATTCTTTTGACGTCGTCTATCCGTCGTGTAGGTGGCCTGTCTCTACTTCTTCTCTCAGCTCGTGGTGTCCACCCTGTAATTTTTTGGGTCCACTGCCCATCATTCATTCTGTCCACATGGTCCTCCCACTTCAGCCATCTTATCAAGTTCTTTTAAGCTATTACCATTTTATATTATCATATATTGTCATTACAACTTCTTTCTTTACTAAAACTGTCTTATTTTTCTTCCTGTTCTTTGTACTTGTTCTTGATGAGGTCTCTAATTAATTGTCCATCCATCCATTACTACAATTATCAGTCCATCCAGACTGCTAAAAGTAGTAATATCTGATATTCTTCTACAGGTCGCACACTTAAGTTTATCTCATTTTTTATCAATAGAATAGATAATATATAAGAATTTTTCCAAGAAAAAAGTCTATATGCTCGTGTACGAGGTGTTACTCCTCTATCACTTCTCATTTTTCTGGACTTGTGATTGGCTGCATCATGTATAGAGCTACTCAATTCACCTCCTAGCCAATTCAGATAGAGTTTGACTTCTGTTTTAAGTTTTTTAATTCTCTATTAAGTGCAAAAGAGACTTGAGACTGCTTGTGGGTACTAGTTGTTTGAACTCACTTCCAGCTTATGACCCGTGATGCGATCAGGTTAATCAAAAAGGTCTATCTCTAAAACGCAACCCATACACTCAATGAACATTTAAAGAATGTAAACATTCGTAATATGCAAGGCTATTTTAAACTTCAATTCTTTCTACAAAGATGCAAAACATCAACTATATTTTAAATATGTTGCCTTTACATACTATAATATGAACATATAAACACCTATTAGCTGGTATTTGATAAAATGTTTTCTCGATGTTGCTTAATGATTATTCGGAATATCATATCTTTCAAAAAAGCAAACAAAAAAAAAAGAGGAGTAACTTATTGAAGTTAACGGAATTTATTTTAAGATATTGAATCCTTGAAATACACAGAAGACACCATAACTGAAATAATGTCGAAAACTTACAATGGAGGAACTAAAAAGTACATGAGAAAATAAAACCAAAAAATTAAAGTAACGAAATAATGCATTAAAAACAGAGCAGAGAAATTTCTTGGATAAAGAACATAATTAGTAGGTAAATAATTAATAAATAAGACTTACTCACAATCAATTTAATTTAACTACCCAGACGACCGGCATCATTTATTTAACTTTATATCGAGACCTGAAGATGCTTTGCATATTGTAGAAAGCGAAACCGGTCGTCTGGATAGTTAAATTAAATTGATTGTAAGTCTTATTTATTATTTCTTTACCTATTTGAAATGGACTCACACAAGCAACACATTAATGATTTTAACATAATTAGTGTATAAACATGCCGACAACTTCTCTTCCTTTTTTTTACTATATTATCTTGGTATGCTTTCTTTATTTATATCTACAACATATATTGACTTATCGGGAATGGTGCATTGTACCGTGATGAAAATGGCGATTTTAATATATTATTTTGAATTTCTAACCGATTTGGTTTCTGAGAAACAAGAAAATAAACACTTATTTTTCCAATATTAATAGATATTGCAAAGATAAACTGTTATCTAATCTGGACGCAAATACTCAATCAACAGTTTGTCAACTTTAAAATCGTATATCATGTTAATGTAATCACGAAACAGTTGTGTATTTAACAGATTTATCCAGACAGGTATAGTGTAATTAACTACTATATAGCCAAGCACATATATGCATAAATAGGTAAACTAAAAACCATGTATGAAGACCGATAGCTAATTAAGCCATAATCAGTGGGCTTCAAACAGTGGCTTTAAAATTGGATTATTCCAATCACTTTAAAAGTAAATTATTTAATTTTCTATATTTTATGTTCAGTACGAATGTTAGATTTTGGTCTATTAAAGGCAAATTAAACGAATATAATATTTATATATAATTTATTACACACAATAAAATTTATTTTATTAATGCCATTTTAAATATAGTAATCATTCTGTGTATTATACTATACTATGCTAATAGTTCATTGAAGGGTTACATTTTTGAGACGACGCAATTTTATTTTTTGATGTGTGGGGTTGGTTAGTATAAGCTTAAGTTTAAGTTTGTACGGTTGTCACCCTTGTCCCCACGCCACCATCATGGAAAAAATGGGGCAAAGGGTTTTCGCGCTGTATCTCGTAAAATAGCAACCCTACTTAAAATTTTATAAAACATAATTTGTAGGAAATTAAATTTTTTACAGCTTTATTTGTATTACTTTATTCGTAAAATTGAAAATAAAAATGTTATAAACAAAAATAACTAAAAATTTTTGAACAAATTTTCTTTTGGCCTTAACGTTTTTCTGGTCATTTTACAATAAAATGGCTTCAGAGCAGTATTATAGAGTGCTTTTTATAGAGTAATTTTTACTACAAATTTGTTAAATTTTATAAATTTCTCTGGATTTTACAGCGCTCCGAAGTTGGACAGATTCTTGAATACACGCCATCTTGGAATAAGGGGTTCAAAGAGTTTTCGCACTGTATCTCGTAACATATCAACTATATAGAAAATTGTATTTATCATTATTTGTAGCAAATTAAATTTAATTTTATTATTTTTTTTATCGTAAAATGGAAAATAAAAAGTTATTAACTAAAATATCATAAACATTTTTAAACAAATTTTCAGGACCTTATAACTTTTTTTTTGTCATTTACAATAAAAAGACATTAGACCAATATAATAGAGGGTTTTTATAGAATAATTTATTATAGATCTTTTTCTCGATCATCTATGAGGTTGATGATGAGGTAGAGTCTGGAGGTGCGTTTTTTAAATGGTATCCTTTTTAGGCCTGATTTACTGAACATTTTCAGGCGAGATAATATTGAGTATAATTATATATTTAAAACTTTGTTTTCCAGCTATTGTTTTTTTTTTATTTTCTTTGATGATCTAGGCTATGGTTCAGGATCTAATTCAGTATCGAAGGTGAAAGAACGGAAGTTATAATTTCTCTTAAAACGAAAAGCGGTCTCTCGTCTATGGTACTTATGTTGTGTAACACAGACTAGCCGTCGTTCGTCAGCTCGCCGCGTCAGGCGCCGCGCGGCCTATGCTGAGTATCATGCGCCGTCGGCCGTTTTGTGACTTCCGGCGGTACATCAGTAATATATATCTCGTGCTTCAACACAGACGTGTGACGGTTTTGCAGCGGTTTTATTTGGTTACTTTTGTGAGTGTTTGCCAAATTTTGTATATATTATGGAAGCTGTAGACATCGATAAATTAATTACCGAAATTCACACAGGGCCAGCAATTTGGGATATGCGCTCAGATAATAATTCGAATAAAATAAAGAAAAAAACAAACTTGAAAATAGGTTACCCACAGTTTTATTTCGAAAGATGCTTTTCTGTGCCATTTTTAAATTCGTAAACTAACGTGTAAAACGTTACATTATATTTTCATTCATTTACTATAGAATGTATCCAACACCTACGTTTCTTCTTCTTCGATTTAATATGAAGTAAACTTGCACTTATTAGGAAAAACAAATCGTAGTCACTTTCACTAGATGATTCTAGAGACATCATTATACCATTCTACGTCCAAAATTCGACTAAATTTGACAACACCGAATACAATGGCAAAACTACTGCCGCTGTTAAACCGCCTCATTTGTTTTCCCGACGGAAAGCGCAGACGTGGCGCAAACCGCCCTGTCTGTGTTTAATTTTACTTGCATCTGCAGAAAATTATTTTCAGAAGTTCGGGGAGTGTGGGAGTTTTGAAAGTTTTACTTGGTATCTACATTTTTCCATGTTTTTTACTGCCCCCTCCCTTGGATTGCTCCCTTCCTAATGCCGTGAGTAAGACAAGAATGTCAATGTCTTCTGCTATGACAGTCACATAATCATAGGCTTGGAATGCAGCAAGTCTAGAATACAGAACGGATGATAACTGTATCTGCACCAGATTCAGCCTGCTCGACACTAAAACACCTTCTGATTTAGCAATTTTGAGAAGGTCTATTAAGTTTGCTCTGTACTTTTCATTACCAAGAAATTTATGTTGCAATAATATTGGTACGGTGTTAAACTTTATCTCTATCCATTGGTGCTTTTTAGTGCGACGCAAGCGTAAGACGTGGGGTAAGTTTTGTGGAGACGGAATGGGTAGATAAATAATTTAATAATAACATAGGAAGATGGCACCCCTTATTCCAAGATGGCGAATATTCAAGAACCCGGACAAGTTCGGAGCGCTCTGAAATCCGAAGAAATTAATTAAATTAAACAAATTTGTAGTGAAAATTATTCTATGAAAAAGCCTCTATGATATAGTGCTGATGTCATTTTATTGTAAAATTACAAGAACACAAGTTACAAAGCCCAAAAGAAAATTTGTTCCAAAATTTTTAGTTATTTTTGTTTATAACGTTTTTATTTTCTATTTACCGTTAAAGGTAATAAAAATAAAATTAGACAATTTAATTTTCTACAAATAATTTCTGATAACATTTTTTATACGGCTGCTAGTTTACGAGATATAGCGCGAAAACCCTTTCCCCTTATTTTTTCAAGATGACGGCCGGGGGACCAGGATGGCGACCACACAAACTTCAACTTAAGTTTGTACTTACCCTCCCGCTAAGCATAAACATTGTGTCATTTTAATGAACTATAAATATTCATTACTAATTAAGTTTCTAAAGAAACTAAAAATTAAATAATAAATAAATTTAAACATAATTTAATCCGTTTTATTTATTAATATTTCAGGTATTGTTTGCGTTTAAATAACATTTTACATAAAATGCCCATTAACCATTTACCTACTATGTTTTTCCCCGTAAAATATTAAATAATATCAGATCATTTAATTTTTAACCATCTACAAAAATGTAATACATATTTATGTAATGGCAAGTATGACTTTGATGGTAATACGATTTGCACATATATCGCCGACGTAGTACATATTTCTTTGTCGATAACAGTTTCTATTCTTTGTTTCAAGTTAAGAAAATAACATTACGCTTATGGAGATCAGTGTTGCCAAAACTCTCAGACACTCTCTTTTGCACGGATGTCCAAGATATTCCCTTTGCTTAATTTTTGAATTTTCATTTTCAATTACCACTTAATTGTAAAGTCAGCATAACTACTAAATAAAAGCCTTATTATTATTATGTAGTCAGAGAACACCATAAAATAGCTGACATACGCACATCGTATTATTTTAAGTTGCAATTAGTAATTAGATATACGCATTCCAAGCGGTCAATATTTTCTACTGATTTCTATGATTCATGGCATATCGTATTCTCACCAAAAAACAAATAAACTGTCGTTACTATAATTAAAATAAGATAAAATAAAATTATCTTTTGTAAATACTATTTATATAATTAAAATCATTTTCCCTACTTTTCATCTCTTGTTTCGAATGGGCACTTTTGGTCAATTACGTTAAAAAACATTAATTTAATTCATGTTTGTGGAAACAAAAATACAAATTATACAACCCTAAATTGTGCTTGTGAGTGTCGTGGCAACGCCGCGTTGCTATCGTCCATAAGAAATACATGGCCCTATCTCCGCAATGTTATTTTCTAAACGTGGAACGTAGTATAGATAACATCAATTATTTTTCAATGATATTTATGTAGATGGAACCTTATTTTGTTAATAATAATATGTTCTTGTAATGGCATAACTTTGATTATTTGGTAAACCTACATTACACACCACAAGAAATTAAACAAAATTTTTTTTAATATTAAAAGTTAAATTAAAAGTGAAACTGGAACAAAACCACGAAGTAGAGATATCCAGGAGTGGCTAGTATACCTGTTGAGTCCAAAGCACGCGTGCTTTGGAAATTTTTTTTAAATTAAACTTGTTGAGCAGTCCTGATTCACACAATAGAGCAGCAAAATGTTATACATAAATATGTTTTAATAGATATCTTTGCTTACTTGGTCCATTAGTAATAAAGTTATCAGAATTAAGTAAATGGGAAACCGGTTTTCATACATGGTCCTTACTTTATTTGATTTTTGTATTTCAGTTAATTTTAATAGAATATATTAGAATATTTTAAACTTTCAGTAGATACAGCGAGTATATCTTTGGATGGAAAGTCTTTTGAAGATATTTTTAAGTAACTAAAGCCTGAAATGACTAGATATTGATCATTTTTATTATTTGATGAATATATAAGCCGTTTAAATAATGATTTCAGCTAGCTTTAAAGATTATTTATAACCTGCGGTCGTTCTTGGTTCATCTTCACGTTTTTCATAACTTTTAACTTGCGTCTACCGAAACAAAAAAGTTCATTACTTATCATTGGGATCCGTTGGACCCGTCTGGTTTGAATGAACGAATAAATAAACTAATTTTTTATCAAATAAATTTATATAAAGCATTTTGATATAAACGAAAATATATTTATTTCTAACAACAACTGCTATGTAAAAAGCAATTACCTATAATAATATAATATTTATATTTTATTGAAAATTATGGACATTAAGAATTTACTTCGAACTATTATTGAAATACAAATAAAAAGAGAATATTCCCAACAAATAAATTTATCGCACTTTACAAATTTTGATTCTGTTTTTCTATCCTTTTTAAGATGGAAAAATATTACATCTGACTTTTTTTGCTGGCTCAGATATTTCAGGTA